TGTCAGGGTTATCAGAGATGAATCGTTTTACCTCCATCACACCTTCACGTAATATATTATTTTCAAAAGTCTTTACTGAGTTAAATTCCGATCGATGGAATTTAACTCAGTAAAGACTTTTGAAAATAATATATTACGTGAAGGTGTGATGGAGGTAAAACGATTCATCTCTGATAACCCTGACATTCTAATCACTAGAGCGGATAAGGGTAATACAACAGTAATAATGAATTTGGATAATTATAAAAGCAAAATGAACGAACTTCTTGCAGACCAGAGTACTTATATGGTCGTCAGTAAGGATCCCACTAACAAAATAACAACCAAAATACGTAGTTTGTTAACCAAATGGAAACAAAAGAGTTACATAGACGAATATACGTATAAAAAACTGCATGTATCGGACGGAGTACTTCCGAGATGTTATGGACTGCCAAAAATTCATAAAGAAGGACACCCCCTGAGAATGATTGTTAGCTATATAAACAGTTTTTTTTATCCATTAGCGAATTTTTTAAAAACCATGATAGAAGATGGAAATAAGAGGAATTTTAGTTTCATTAAAAACAGTTTTGAAGTCGCAAATATAAACTCAATGGATTGGCAATTAATAGTAATTTTAGCATTATATTTTTTGACGTTGTATCGATGTATACGAACATTCCTATTGACTTAGTTATTAAAAGTATAGAACGAAGATGGAACTTCATCAGAAATAAGACTGCGATACCTATCCAAGGGTTTTTAAGAGCGATTTCAATTATTTTTAACTCCACATCTTTTACTTTTGACAAAAAAATTTTTTAACAGATTTTTGGTATGTCCATGGGGTCTCCACTTTCTCCTATATTGGTCAACATAGTTTTAGCAGGATTTGGAACGTGAAATTCTTACAACCAATAATATTATTACTTCTTTTTATTTTCGATACGTTGATGACATCGTATTGGCTATACAAAATGATAAAGTGGAATCTACTCTGGAATTATTTAATTTTTATCATGAAAAGATTAAATTTACTGTTGATTATGGTGATAAGAATGGTATAAATTTCTTAGATATAAAATTGATGAAGCAGGATGGAAAAATCATTTTGGATATATATAAAAAACTAACGAACTCAGGGAGATTTTTAAATTTTTATTCCAATCATCCAATGGTGCATGAAAGAGGAGTAATTATTGGACAGTTTGACAGAATTTTAGATTTATCGCATCCGAAATTCCATGATAAAAATATCACAAATTTAATTCACACTTTTTTAATGAATGGTTATCCCTTAGAATTCATTTTTTCTATGATTATTAATAGAATTAAAACCTTAGAAAATAGAATTATTTCTAATAATAATAATGACGAGAACGAAATAGTAAAAAAGTTTTTTGTGATATCATATTTAAACAATGTATCGGAAAAATTTAAGAAGATATCACATAATTATGGTTTCAATATTGCATATAGACCAATTAACAGACTTAATAGATTCATAAAAACGGGTAAAGATTGCTTATGTAAAGATGACC